AACAAAACTAAACCTTCTCAACCACATTTGAGTCGTCCAAACCAAACAGAAGGACATTAACCCAAATTTGATCAAACCCAAAACCCACACCACAGGGCAAACAAATATGCGACATTGCCACCACTACAAAATCAAAGTTACCAAAAAGGGGAAAATCGGTGATAATCCGGTGATAACACACATCAATCAAGAAAAAAAAACACTTACGGTGAAAAAAAACACTGAGGGGGTGAGGGAGGCGAGATCGACGGAGGCGAGAATCGAGATCAAGGCGCTTGGGAGAGGCGAGGGAGGCTTGAAGTGAGGAAGGATTTGAGACTCAGGCGGAGGCGAGATCGAGGCGACTCAGGCTTGGGAGGCGAGCGAGGGAGGCTTGAAGTGAAACCGGAGTGGACTCACGGCAGGGGATGCTGCGTGCGGTCAGCGGTGCGTGCGAAGGTTGGGACTGGCGGCGAGTGGCGACTGGGTGGGTGGGAGGAAGGAAAACAGAAAACTAGAAGATTGGGTTAGGGATCTAGGGTTACTTACTTTACTTACACGGGCGGGTCGGGGCAACTCGGGTGAACAATTGCCCGGCCTGCGGCCTAACCCACAAATTGCGGGTTGGGCCTATTTAAATCCGAAATTTAAAAAAAAAAAATTTAACCCAACATTTTCGGGTCGGATCGGGTTGGGTCAGACGGGTTGTTCGGGTTCAATTCTTACACCCCTAGCAGGAACTAGACCTTTTCCTTGAAGAAGATTCAGTGTGTCCAACGTGCAATGTAAAGCAGAGACAGACCCTTGAAAAAGAACGGGCATTCGATTTCTTGGCTGGATTGAATCAGGATCTTGACGAAGTCAGGGGCCATGTTTTAAGCAGAGTGCCATTCCCAACAACCGAAGAAGCCTTTGCCGAGGTTCGTAGAGAAGAAAATCGCCGGAAAGTCATGTTGTCAGAAGAAGAATCATCCGGTGTAGCATCAACAGAAGGCTCGGCTCTGGCAACCAGAAATACTTCACAACTAGCAAGGAACAACAGTGAGTCTAGAACCCCACGGCGAGGAGAACGAATGTGGTGTGACCATTGTAACCAACAAGGACATACTCGTGACATATGCTGGAAAATTCATGGTAAACCCGCAAATTGGGTTCCCCGAAGACAGAATGAAGGATGAGCGCTTCAAACTCACTCAAACCAAGACAAAGAAGCAGCAACAGAAAACCAGAAACCGCTTCCGTTTAGCAAAGAACAGATTGAGCAACTCTATCGCCTCTTCAACTAGTTACCAGCCTCATCCTCGTCAACTCCAACTCTCGGATCCTGTTCTGTAGCCCAAATTGGTAACTTTCACTCATCCTTAAAGTCTACCCTTCACTCTAAGGAGCCATGGATCATTGATTCTGGTGCCTCCGACCACATGACAGGTGTCTCTGAATTTTTTTCTCTCTTATACCCCTAGTCATAGTTCTGCTAAAGTGAAAATTGCAGATGGATCCTTGTCTTCTGTTGCTGGAATAGGTTCAATCAAAGTATCCAAAGACTTAACACTTGGGTCGGTTCTTCATGTTCCTACCTTAAGATGCAATTTGTTGTCCATAAGTAAACTCACTCGTGGTAATAACTGTGCTGCTATTTTTCACCCTTCTACATGTTATTTTTAGGACCTATTATCGGAGATGACGATTGGCAGTGCTAGAGTTCATAAAGGGCTTTACTACCTCGAGGACATAGAGAATGAGAGTCAACAAGCATTTGCATCTGGAGTTTCATCCGTTTATGTTTCTAGTAATAGGGAAATAATGTTGTGGCATCATAGACTTGGCCACCCAAATTTTTTATATCTGAAACATTTGTTACCACCCTTATTCAAGAATAAAAGTATTGTTTCTTTTCATTGTGACATTTGCCAATATGCAAAACACACTCGGGTACCGTTTTCTCTTAAACCTTATATACCCTCTAGCCCATTTGTTTTAATTCATAGTGATATCTGGGGACCATCAAGAGTTACCACAACAAATGGAAAAAAATGGTTTGTGACATTTATTGATGATCACACACGAACAACTTGGGTATACCTTCTTTGAGAAAAGTCAGAAACCTGCCAAGTGTTCCAAAATTTTAATAACATGATCCAAACTCAGTTTCTGAAAAAGGTATGTGTCTTGAGAACAGACAACGGGAGAGAATACTTTCAATCTATCTTGGGGGAGTACTTGCTACAACAAGGGATCATTCATCAAAGTTCACGTGTTGATACCCCGCAGCAAAACGGAGTCTCGGAAAGGAAAAATAGGCACTTATTGGAAGTGGCTCGTGCGCTCATGTTTACAGTGAACGTCCCCAAATACCTATGGGGAGATGCCATTTTAATTGTTGCGTTTCTCATAAATCGCCTACCTAGCCGCACCTTAAAATTTCATTCCCCATTGTCCCAGCTCACAAAAACCTATCCACACCTTAAAACCATAAATAACCTTCCGCTCAAGACGTTTGGCTGCACTACCTTTGTCCATATTCATCCTCAACACCGAACCAAACTTGACCCTCGAGCCATAAAGACTATCTTTCTCGGCTATTCTCCAACCCAAAAAGGGTACCGGTGTTACTGCCCTTTTGGAAAGAAAATGTTTATCTCCCGTGATGTCACATTCTTTGAAGACATGCCATATTATTCCCCCACTTCGCTTCAGGGGGAGAATCATGGTTAAGAAGCTCATGTGTGGGATTGGGACACCATTGCCCTACCTATATCCGAAACTCTACCTATGTCTGTGACCTCATTGCCTGAGACTGAAACAGTTGCAACTACACCCACCACATCTGAGCTCACCTTTTCCGACATCATACCACCACTTGAAAATATGCCACAGCAAACACAAGAAGTACCGGTTCGTGAAACAGGAATAGGAAGAGACCTCAGTGTGCCAAATCAACAAGTGCTACGTGTTTACTCTCGAAAAAACCATTCTCAAGGAAACAGGCCCCTCATGAACACCATGCACTGCCCAGAATCCAAACCAGTGCCAGGAACTACTTCCTTAGCTCCGGGTAATTTCGAAGCCACTTTCGAAACACTAGATATACCAATTGCCCATAGGAAAGGTGTTAGATCATGTACACAACATCCCATTTCCAAATTTGTGTCGTATGATAATCTGTCTCCATTTTTCTGTGCCTTCACCACAAAGCTATCTAGTGTCAATATTCCCAGGTCAATAGAAGAAGCTCTAGCTGTTCCTAAATGGAAAAATGTAGTACTTGAAAAATGCAAGCGCTCAAGAAGAATAACACGTGGAGTGTGGTTGAACTACCACAAGGCAAGAGTGTGGTCGGATGCAAATGGGTATTCACTGTCAAATTCAAGCCGGATGGATCAATCGAAAGATACAAATCACGGCTCGTTGCAAAAGGTTTCACACAAACCTATGGAGTCGATTACACTGAGACATTTGCTCCTATTGCAAAGTTTAACACAATAAGGGTCCTCTTATCACTAGCGGCAAATCTGGATTGGCCTTTGTTTCAACTCAACGTGAAGAATGCTTTCTTAAATGGTGAATTGGAGGAAGAAGAGTATATGAGCCTACCACCGGGGTTTGAAGAGGGTAAGAGAAACAAGATGGTGTGCAAGTTGAAAAAATCTCTATATGGACTAAAAGAGTCTCTGAGCGCATGGTTCGACAGATTTTCAAAGGTGATAAAAAGCCACAGATATTCACAGGGACAAACTGATCACACGTTGTTTGACTCATCAGATGGAAAAATTAGTCCTAATAGTATACATAGAATCATAGATGATATAATACTTACTGGGGACAACTTTGAAGAAATGGAGAAAATTAAAAGATTGATGGCTATTGAGTTTGAAGTTAAAGATCTCGGGACACTGAGATATTTCTTAGGAATGGAAGTCGCAAGAAGCAAGAGTGGAATCTCCATATCACAAAGAAAGTATACACTAGACCTATTGCAAGAAACGGGTATGTTGGGGTGCAAACTAATAGAGACCCCAATTGAACAAGGAGGCAAGGCAAAAACGATTGATGGAGAGATGGCTGATAGAGAAAGATATCAACAACTAGTGGGAAAACTAATATACCTCTCGCATACACGACCAGACATCGCCTTTGCAGTTAGCTTGGTAAGCCAACAAATGCATTCACTGTGCCAAGGACACTTTGAAGCTATTTATCGAATATTGAGATACCTCAAAAAGACTCTGGGAAGAGGATTATTTTTTGGAAAAGAAGAAAACATAAGGGTGGAAATCTTCACTGATGCAGATTGGGCCGGATCTGTCAAAGATAGGAAATCAACATCTGGATATTGCACACGCCTCTGGGGGAATTTGGTGACTTGGCGCAGTAAAAAGCAGTCCGTAGTAGCAAGAAGCAGTGCTGAAGCTGAATACAGAGCCATGGCTCATGGTATCTGCGAAGTAATTTGGTTGAAACAGTTGCTAGAAGAGTTGAAGATCAATTGTGAGTTTCCTATGCAGCTCTACTGTGACAACAAGGCTACAATCAGCATAGCACACAATCGAGTCCATCATGATAGAACTAAACATGTGGAGGTGGATAGACACTTTATTACTGAAAAACTAGAGAAGGGAATTATCGGCATTGAGTACATTCCTACAGGCCAACAGGTTGCGGATATACTCACCAAAGGACTTCCTAGACCAACGTTCGAGTACTTTGTAGGCAAGCTTAGGCTCATTGATATCTACAGCCAAGCTTGAGGGGGAGTGTTAGCAGATAAGATCTTTTTAGAGAGAGTTTGAATAAGTCAAATAGCTTTTTATTTAGTTTGTTATTTTTCGATTATATAGATTAGGAGTTATTAGTTAGAAATTCAAATGAAGTAGATTAGTTGGTAGAAATCTTTCTACCTTTAACCTAGGAGAAGATAATAGACTCGGTATTCAAACCCTAGTCTATTTAAGTGTACTTTCATTCAATTAATAAAGTAAGGCAGTTCAATTAACCTGCGTTCACTTGCCTATAATTTGCAGGGACTAGCCTTCTTGTTAGCAATGATACTGAAGGCTCTTGGGCCGCATCAATATTACGACAGTGACGATGATTACCCTCCTGAAAGGGCTCCACTTTTGCAAAACGCTGTTCAGCCACCTCCATATCTTGCTGAAGATCATGTTTATGGGTCCAAGCCTGATGCATGGAATATCAGGATCAATGACAAGGTATAAATATATAATTCAGTTACATCTCAAGGCCACGAATATTATCCCTTTAATATCATTCATTTACTACTTAGAACACAGGGTAAGAGCGTCTACTATGCAATGACAAATTTCTGTGACAATTCCAGAATTGGCATATGAGTAAGAAAAAATCATTCTCCAATTCAATGCAACACTTAATGTCAAATTTGGCTTATGCTACACTTAGTGCCAAATTTTGGCATTTGATGTTTATTGGTTGAAGTGTTGGTTTTTTCATTTAATAGTCACAAACATTCTCATTTTTCAATTATTCAAAATTGATTTTTCTTTCTACAAGTTTTAAAGCTTAAAAATTTATGATAAAAAGTAGATGTTGCATTTAAAAGAGCATTGTGCATTGGAGCACAAATTAGAATAATATATCAAACATGACATTGTTATACTTTTTGTGCTAAATGTTTAATGTAGCATTGGCATAAGTATTTGCATTAGAGATGGTCTAAAATTAGAGAATTTGTGGTAAGGACGGAATGTTGGGTTGTTGGGCAAAATTGAAGAGGGAAAGAAACTGCCGAAATTCTTTGTCCAATTTGGAGAGATTGAAGGATGGATAAAAACAAATCTCGAGCTTTTTACATAAAACTAATGACTATTCTTGCGTAGTATCGTATTATGCTTGGGTATAATTGTAAATAAATATTATGTCTTTCTCCTTTTGTTCTCTTGTACCAAATATGATACTATAAAAGGTTCTCATCCTCTCTATTTTCCACACCTGGGCTTTTATTTTACCCTTTCACCCTTCCTATTTTTTATCCCATTCTATGTAGCATAGACTTGTTATCGTTCTCTTTAGAGTTAGGAGGTACAAATGGGAGGAATGAGGGGTGATGGGATTCGTGGAAGGATTTTGCGATTCATAGTTGTTAGGTATGAGAGAAAGAGGAGGGAATCAATTGGGTGAGGTATTTCAAATACTTCAAGAATCCCAGTTTTAGTCTCTCCCAGTAAGGAAGGATTAGAGGGAATCCAAATCAAACACAATAAGAGAAAGGTTTTCCTAGTTTTCTCAATTTTCCTCACCTAGGTAAATACCTTCCTTATATTCCTTTCCTCGTACCAAACATAGCCTTATAGTCTTTCCCTGTTACTTCATGACCTCTTATTTTGTTACCCAGTTCAATCTTACCAAAACCATAACTTCATTGATTTGTCTAGTCTTCTCTTGGCCCCTATGACTGCTTTTTTTGTTACCCAGTTCAATCGTAGTGAGCGTAACAGTATAATCTCATTCTTAGTTTAGTCAGTCAGTCTTTCTCAACACCTCTAGTATTCTCCATAATATCGATGGGATCATTTATAATATCACAAGTTGCAGAATCGTATTCCGGATATACCTCTTTTTCTTGCCAAGTTCAATTTTAAACCTATCTTTGCTGGATTCTCATGCAATATAAGCTCTGTTCATTTCACCGATTCGAGTTTTGCTACGATAAAAAGCTCTTAGAAACAGTCACATCTAACTTTTTTACTGCAGTAAAAAACTCACATAAAATCACATCTCAACTCGAATTAAAACTCAAATCAACAAACTAAACGGCCTTTATATTATCCCTTTAGTTTGACTTCTAATATTCCAACTGTTTCAAATCAGACAAACAGGTAAATGGATTTGAACTACTCAGGAGCCAACATGTGAATGCAAGGACAGGAAGCTTAGGGACAAAGTTGCTAGAAATGTCTTCAAATCAAGAGTTGGATGTCAGAAGTTGACTGGGAAGACCACAAAGGAGGGTTGGATGAATGATGAAAACGCGTACATACTGTCACCCCATCAAATGTTAAAACCATTCTTTCATATCATGTAATTATTTTGTTTCATTTGTTGGCGTATTTTGCTTTGGAAATAATTCGGTGGATCTATCTTCTAATGTGTTTAAAAAAGAAAAAAAGAAAAAAAAAAGGAATGAGAACAATGGACATATTGTTTTTCAGAATCAATCATGAAGTTGCAAATATTAAAATACTACATTTTAAAGCCCTATTAGAAATGAGAACAATAGACATTTTGAGTGTATTTAGAACTCGTTTCAAAATGATCTTGTTTTTTGTATGAAAATAAAAATGAAAATGTTTTCAATTTTAGATAGAAATCATTTTTGAAAATACGTTTGGTAGTTTTATTAAGAGATTATTTTTAGTATTAAAAAAATCCATTAATGTCTCTCTGGTGTTTGAGAGAGGAGAAAACGGAAATAAAAAATAAAAAATGACTGTCGTTTTTCATTTCTCTCATATTTTACACTAAATTAAAAAATTATTTTTATTTTTGTTTTTATCTTTAATTGTGTCAAATGTTATTTTTTCCGTTTTCATTTTTTCTTCGAAAAATGTGAAACAAAAACAAAATTAACTCCGAACACAGTTGCAAATATTAAGTTACTAGGTCGCGTTTGGAACTCGTTCCAAAATAATTTTATTTTTTGTATGAAAATGAAAATGAAAACATTTTCAATCTCAGACATAAATCATTTTTGAAAATGTGTTTAGTAGTTTTATTAAGAAATTTTTTTCAGTGTAAAAAACCCATTAATATCTCTCAAGCTCGGACTAAAAGTCATTTTTTATTTATCTGTCATTTTATACTAAACTAAAAAATTATTTTCATTTCTGTTTTTTTATCTTTATTGTGCCAAACACCGTTTTAAAAATGTTTTCATTTCCGTTTTTTTATCTTTATTATGTCAAACATTATTTTAAAAATATTTTTATTTTTTTTCTCAAAAGACGTGAAAAATAAAAGGGAAATAGTAAAAAATAGACCAATATGAAAAGCTTAAGAAAGTATATAGGTCAATTTTTAGTTATAGAAATTAATAGGCCATAACTTGTCAAGTTATGGTTCATAACCAGATAAGTTATAAACAAACTTGTCAAGTTATGGTTTATAGCCAGACAAGTTATGGACAATTATGAACAATAACTTGTTAAGTTATGGTTCATAATCAGACAAGTTATGGACGAAAACAGTAATTTGGCCTATTTATTAACTTATGTAAACTATTAGCCTATTAATTTTAATTCATCTCAAGTCTTAGCATATTTTTCTCCTTCCCTCAAAATAAAAACGAGTTCAATTTCAAACACAACCTACATTTTAAAGCCCTTTTAGAAATGACGGGTGTGTACAATTGGGCTTCAAATTTGCATAGTTCAACAGGTACTCACGAGTTACACAAGTAGTGCTTTCTTCCATCTCTATTTGAACACAACCATATCTTCTTCCATTTTGAACTTACATATCTTTGTTTTTCCTTTTGAAAATAACCACTCTTGAAAGTAGAAAAACACAGCAGTCACTCCCAAATTAACCCGAAACAAAACTTCTCTTCTTTTCTTCTCACTTCCGTCCTCTTCAAGGCAACAGCAATGCTTCGGAGGCGAAGGTTTAGGCTCAAACTAGGAGTCTTGGCATATCCGCCAACGACCTCATCAGCACAGTCGATCGGGTCGATTGGATTGCGGTGGATGAGCTTAGTTGGTGGTTTGAATCAACTGCTCAAATGCTAAGAAGAGAGTGGATTGTGTTTGTGCTTTTTTTTTTTTACATGTTTTGCAATTAATGGAGATTTGAGACAGTTCCCTTCCTCAGATCACTCTTTTTCTTCGTTTGGGAGTTCTCTATGGGTTTTAAAAACAAGATGTTAGGAAGCTTCCTTTCCAAGGAATAGATCCTCATGGTTTTTTTTTGTTTTTTTAATTTCGTTAAATTTTATTGCTCCTTTGAATTGTTATTATTCTTTGGAGTTAATGTAATTTTTCTTTAATATAAAAGGCAATTAACTCATTAACTATTAGCATTATCATTTTACTTCATGAACTTTTTTTCTTGATATAGTTTCTTACTAATAACTTAAGAAATTTCACATATATAATCATGTCTCAATCGGATAGTAACTTAAATTTTTACAGTTAATGTTTCAAACCTATGGATTAATTCTGCAAATGTCCTTCAAATGTTATTAAGGAAGTGCCATTCATTATCTCTTATGATTGTAACCAAATGTATAAATGAGAATATTCAGGCCCCGTTCTTTTCGCTGATTCGAGTTTTGCTACAGTAAAAAGCTCTCAGAAACAGTCACATCTAACTTTTTTGTTACAGTAAAAAGCTCTCACAAAACATCACATCTCAACTCGAATTAAAAACTTGAATTAGCAAACCGAACGGGCCCCAGTGTTCCACTTTTTCCTATTTCCCTACTTTATTGAGATCTCAGCGCAAAATAAATAAATAAATAAATAAATAACAAAAAAAATAAAAAACATAAAGTGGAGTCTGGACACATATTATGAACTTCAATATTGCATATGCTAGCTTTTGCTTAAAAAAACTAGCCTCCATTTGCTTCACCCTTAAGGAGATACGCTCTCGCAACGCTGCACATGCCTAACAACTAATCCAGTGCTGAAATTAACCTTAATTAACACTGCACTATATAGCTTGGTCATCACAACCCGTAAAATGACTCCAACATCTGCTTAACACGAGTAAAAGAGCAAAACCAGAGGAAATTCTTTCGCTCTTTCTTTCTCGGGAATTTTTACGGTAGAGCATGCTATTTTACTCCACCAATAGGAACAAATAGTTTAATTGTTGGTTAGTTTTTTAACAGTCAGATCTCTATAGCTCTATATTAAAAATTTACAGTATGTCGCACATAATTACTTTTACTGCTGATCCAATCATTAAAAAATTAATCCAACGATAAAAGCGAAATAGCTTGCTCCACTGTAATGACTCTAAAATTAATCCAACGATAAAAGCGAAATAGCTTGCTCCACTGTAATGACTCTTTTTTTCTCCGTGTTTTGTTTGGAAAGAAAGTAAAGATAGCCAGCTGTGGAGCTAGCTTTTTTATCCTTCGATTCCTTCCAGGGATTTGCCTTTCCAAAAGCTCTTGTTCAGTTGGATGCTCATAGTTCTGTCGACACCTATGTCATGTTCATTGATACATTGCCTGATCTATAATAATCTCGATATCAGCTACTTTTAACTTCTTTTTTTTTTTTTTTTTTTTTCCGGTTTCTCTTGGCCAATAGCTGATGTTTAACCTTTAGTATTATGTTCCATGACAAAAATTCTTGCATTAACAGTTATGCACAATGTCATGCGTGGCAATCTAATCGTTTATAATTTGTTTTTCATGTTATGTCGTCAACTGTCAACCTGCTAATAAACAAGCCGTATTAGAATTTTGTATTTTGATATAAATAATAAATGAATCGTATTTATATTAAGACTTATCATGTCAGTTGAAGTAGTTAATACAAAACGACAACACAAATTGCTCACCGTCAAATGATAATATTAGTAAGGAATATATATACTTGGTGCATAAGAGTTGGTGTAAGTTACTGACCCTAATATAATTTTAGCTCAAATAATAAGAATTTTTTTTGGAGGTAAAAATAAGAATAATTTTGGCCTCAACTGCATTAATTGAATCCATCAAATTGTCATAAAAAATTCTTTTAACATGACTTAATTCTTGAGAGTATTTGGTGCAAGAAGTTGATATATATCTCTTATTAATAATGACAATCTGTATTATTTTCTGTACAGATTCACCTAGCTGGCTAGTATATGCTTGAGGCCTAGCCAACTGCTTTAACTACCAAATAATCACGCAAGTATAGGCAAGCATAATCAAGAATGTCTACTTTATATCTAGGCATTAAGTCTTTTGGAAAAGCCTTATATCGTGCGCATTATCATCCATACATTAAATATTATACAAACAATTTGATGCTAAAATTTTTAAGTTCCGTTAATTTTACCGATTCGAGTTTAGAATTCGAGTTTTGTCACAGTAAAAAGCTCTCAGAAATAGTCACATTTAACTATTTTACTACAGTAAAAAGCTCTTACATAAAGTCACATCTCAACTCGAATTAAAAAGTCGAATCAACGAACTAAACGGACCCTTAATAAATATATATATATATATATATGTCCTCCGCATTTGAAAGTGAGAAAATTACGATTTGGTCCGTCTCCATCATGAAGGCAAAAGCATGAAGATACCATAATCTAAATGGTGTGACAGTATTTTTTGTGATTTGTTTAAACGATTTGAGGCATATGTTTTTAAGATATAGTCAAAGAATACTTTTAGATAAAGTTAAACAACAACTCTTCTTTTAAGAGCACTTAAGTACTGTCCTTTATTTGTCTGTTCAATGCATGTGTAATTAATCGTATTTTATTAGGTTTACATATAACTTCCAATATCGTTATTAACCGGTAATCGTGGGCTTAGAGATATAAAATATAATATGTTATCTTTTTGGTTTGCATGCAATTATTATTAATATATATTTGAACTTTAGAAAAGCAAGAATATATAACATAATTATTTTTATAAACAGTTTTTATATGACGTGCTCTGTCAAGTGTTATATGATTAAACAGCTAAAACAACAATTTACATGATGTCGTACTTTGGTAGTACATGTGATTCTTAACAATATTTATGGGCCAATCTTAGCGTTTTGTTGGTGTATTCATATCATGATTTGAATCATGGTTCGTAATTTTTTATAATATTTTCTCTCATAAAAAATACATGTAAATCGAGAATAGTTCTGAATCATGATTTTAAATTAATGAATCAAACGTCCACTTATTTATTGTGAAATGGACTAGAAAGAAATAATCTTTTTCTTTTAGTTTGAAAAACAAACAATTACTTCGAGGTTGTTCTTTTATATTTATGAATTATGGTGACTTGAGTGATGATTTTGAGTTAAGTTTGAGTTATAACTTGAGTTGAAATTGTAACATGAGTTTGTGTTTGGATGTGCACATTTGAGTTATG